GTTTTATATATTTATACTTCTATTTCAACCTCATTTAAGTTCACTCTATAGGAGGCACAATTTATATGGATAGTATATATATTTTTTTACAATAACAAGCTGGAATGAAAACAAGCAAAAATGAAAGTAACGACTTTCTACTTCTTGTCTTTTTTAAAAATGTAAGGAGTAAAAAAGTTCAGATAATTGTGTGAAAATGTAAGAAGTAGATGTAAAAAGTAGGCTGAAAAATAATTACTCAAGTAAAGTACAGATACCCAAAAATTCTACTTAAGTACAGTAAAGAAGTATTTGTACTTAGTTGCTTTACAACTCTGGATTTTTCTRTAATAAATGTGGGGATTTTTTTGTTTTCTGCTTGTCTGAACAAAAGCAGTTTTGTGTGAAGAGGTTCTTGCATGAAAACCGTAACTTATCTTATGAGCGACTGGATTCGCTGACTCATTCTGAATCACTGCTGTGTTTCTTTCTGGACCCAGGACGTCACGTATCAGTCTCTGCAGAGCGTTGTGGACTGGTTCAGAGAGGCTGTTGGGATTCCCATGGAAAAGAAATACAACTCTGTTCTGTTTGGAGGTTTGTTGGATTGTTTTCTTTTTTTTTTTTTTCTTACTTGAAAAACAGCAATAAAGATAGATGAGTTTAACGCTCCATAATTTGCCTTTCAGGTCTGATCGGGTCGATGTTTTCTTTGCTGCAGTTCTTGTCGTCGCCCGTGACGGGGGCTCTGTCTGACCGTTACGGCAGACGGCCCCTCCTCATCCTGACCACCGTGAGTTCAACCCGTCGTTCTGTCACGCTTGACGGCATTTAAGTGACATCACGAGTCGGCGCCGAGTCATTCAGGTTTAATGAAGTGTCTTTGTTTTCAGGTGGGGCTGACCTCCTCCTATGCGGTCTGGGCTGTTTCCCGGAGCTTCAACATGTTCCTTTTGTTTCGGGTAATTGGGGGGATTTGCAAGGGCAACGTGAGCCTCTGCACCGCCGTGGTGGCTGACCTGCCATGTCCGAAAGCACGAAACAGAGGAATGGTAAGCCCAGACCCTAAATGGTGTTTATAGCTGTGTTATTACAAGTCAGACTCTCAAGTTAATTTAAAAAAAAAATACAACTCTGTTATGTTGTCACCAGGCAATGATTGGCGTCGCCTTTTCTTTGGGGTTCACTTTCGGACCGCTGATGGGAGCCTACATCGCCATCAGCTCCACAGCGACAGAAAATGTTTTCTACCAGACCCCGGCTCTGCTCGCCTCGGCCTTCAGCGTCGCTGATCTGCTTTTTATTTGGCTGATGCTGCCGGAGACGCTAACGAAGGATGCGAAGGTTGGTTTGTGGAAGCGTTCCCCGGCAGCAAACAAAAACAACGTGCAAAAACACAAATATTTGAGGAAGCAGGGTTGGTTTATCTGTTTTACTGGGTGTTTTGCTGGTACCTGAACGCAACACTGAGTCTGGGTTGGTCTGAATGTAAAACGTCAACCTTCCTGCCTCTCCTGAAGTTCTGTTTGTGATTATTTCTTGCCTAATAGCAGTAACTGCCTGGACTCTAAAGGGGATGATGACATTTCAGGAAGCACTTGGTGTGGTTTAAAAAAAAAAAAAACAGCCCAGTGATCCAACTTTAACGCTCTGCTGATTCACTTTCTGCTGAGCTAACAGTCGCCAAGTTTACAAAACAACCTGTCTCTTTCCTGGAACATGCTTCGCCTGCAGAAGTTTATGAAAAATAAACTTTTTTTTTTTTTTTTTGCTCGCTGGGGACCATCAGAACCAAAAACATTTTTTGTTGTTGTTTTGTTTTTAGCCAGGGACAATTTAGAGTTAAAACTAAAAGGCATGTTTTTGGTCCGGCTGGGAGGCGAACCCGCAACCTTCTTGCTGTGAAGCAACCGCTCTGACCACCGATCTGTTAGGTTTCACATTATGTGTTGGAGATGACTCTCAGCTACTACCACACCAGATTTCAGCTCAGTTTCTGTCAAACTGACTGAGTCGTGGTCGTTTTTGTGGTGGCGAATTAGCTGCGGCGGCCATCTTGATTTGAGTTGACTCTAGAGTTGAATTACTTCCTGAGTGTTTTATTGACATTTATACACAAACTCAGGCCTAAAAGCAGTTTTATAGCAGAAACTTGAGCATAAAGTTTAAAACAAACTTTTTTTTCCCCACTCTGTACAGGCTTCCTCTTCTGGACACGGGGGCTCCTGGGACCTCCTCAGTCCTCTGTCTTTGTTCCACTTTGCTGCCGTGACAAAAACCAAATCCCCACCGTCACGAGACAGTGAGTTCTGGTTCTGCTGGATCGAACTCAGACCCTCTTATCAATTTCTAAAACACAGATAACTTTATTATAGATAACTATATAATATTGTGTTTTCTTTTTTTGTTTGTTTTTTGTTTTTCGCAGGAATGCATTCACTCCAAGTATTGGGTCTGGTTTATTTCTGCTACCTCTTCCTGTTCTCCGGTCTGGAGTTCACCCTGAGCTTTTTGACCCACCAGCGCTTCCGGTTTACAAGGTATAACCTGCATTTTTATCAGTCAGCAGGACAAAAAAAGAGAAAGAAAAAGAATTTGACGAGCGACTTTGATTGGTTTTATTTCACCAGTATGCAGCAGGGAAAGATGTTCTTCTTCATTGGGGTCATCATGGCTCTAATCCAGGGGGGATACGCTCGGAGGATCAAACCTGGGCAACACATAAGTGCTGTTCAGCGGGTAAAAACACCAACTATTAATATCATAAACATTATTTTTAGTGAAACAGCTGCACAAACATCTACTTGAATTAATTTTTTGTTTTAGGCGATGGTGATACTGATCCCAGCATTCATCCTCATCGGGTTATCCTGGAATATGACGATGCTTTATACCGGTTTGGCTCTGTACTCTTACGGTGAGTCAAAGATTTAAACCAAAAACTAAATTTTTAAAAATAGTTCTGTCTCTGCGTTCATGAGTAAACTTTTTGTGTTTGAAAGTACATGTGAAAGGAGTCAAAAAATGTGATTAAAAGCATCAATCGGGCACTCGGATGGCAAATTTTAACAAAAAAAATCTAAATTATATCTCTATATTTATAGTATAGTTGCGGAAGATGATGTTTTATCAAGTCAAGAGGATGTACATTTTTTAGTAATATTTTTATGCACCTTTGARTGTAAATTACTAATAATTTGATTAATTGAATTGTGTAATTACCACATCTGGCCACTAGGGTCGCTATTAACTCTGCTCAAAAATAAATAATTCTCGCGATGCTTCAAAAAGTAGAATAGAATAGAAATAACCTTTATTGTCCCGCCGAGGGGAAATTCAGTTGTCACAGCAGCATCAGTACAGAGGGTCACACACTAGTTTACAAACTATAGACAATGCACAAATGACGAAATTACCACTAACTAGCATGAAACCAATCACAGTCATAGCTCACAGCTGGGATAGATTTGGAGTTATGTCATCCTCGTTAACGGTGGCGAGCTGAGCTCCACCTTCATTTCAAACAGAACCCAGCAATGGAGACGGCTGACGAAACTTAAGTAGATAAAYCAGAGCAGCATGGCCATATCTCAGCTCAATGTTTGAGATTTTAAGACTGAAAAATAGTTTATGTCTTATGTTTTCACCGTAGATCAGGGCTATTCAACTGATGGCCCGCGGGCCACATCCGGCCCACCAATGACCAAAGTTCGGCCCGCCAATTGGTTCACTCATCTCTTAAGCCCAAACCCCCGGTTTTCTATTTTAATTACTATAAGTTATTTTAGTTAAACATAGACATGTTTGGTGTCTACAGAAACGTCAGAATCTTGGCTACAAGCTGGTAAAAACSTTTACTATGAACATCCAAGACAATTAATACTACAAGCAGTTGATAAAACTATGAAAGTGAAAATAAAATTGGTTTAAAAATTTGGCAAGTCAGAGATGTCAAAATATTTTGTGGTAAATAAGAGGCATAATATGTTTCTTTTTTTGTTGTTTTGTCATCACTACTTTTATTAAATAGGGTTCTGTATGTTTTCATGATTAAATGCAGCAAAATAAACTAKTTCAAAGGTAACAGATCACTGTAATACTTAGTTTATTTACATAACTTTAATTGCTGGTTTCGGCCCCTGAGCTGTTGGTCTGCGTTAACTGTGGCCCCTGAGCAATTTAGTTGAATAGCCCTGCTATAGATAAAATACATTTCTCACCACTCACTTTATTGCATTTTTATATTGAAGTCTTTACAGTTGTAGTAGAATTTGTAGCAGAGTKGTTCTATATGTCGATACATCAGGTGGTTTCCGAGAGTTACAAGGTTCTGTAAAATCACTCTGAAAACAATAYAGCAATGTACTGATATTAGAAAATTTAATTTGTACTTTTGAATACTTGAGTATTTTTAAATGCATGTGTTTTTGAATACTTAAGTGTTTTCAAAAGTAAGTACTTTAATTTGAGTAGATTTTTGACCGAGCAACTTCTACTTGTAGTTGAATAAGATATGACCATGAGTATCAGTACTTTTACTCAAGTACTAGAGTTGAGTACTTTGTCCACCACTGATAATAACAGAGCAAATGATTGCTCAGATTAGTAATACAAATGAGTAGTAGTGCAAATGATTGTTTAGATGAGTAAAAACAATGAATAATAMCAGTACAAATGATTGTGCAGGCAGCAGCAGGTGTGTAAACATTTGTTGTGATTTTTGGGCGTGGTGCTGATTATAGAGTCTGACAGCTGCTGGGAGGAAGGATCTGCGATAAMGCTCCTAAGAATGAATAAGAATAAAGATAAAACCATCTGAGATAATTAAATTGCCCTGCTTTTTTGTGAAGGCATGAGTAGTACTAATATCAAAATAACTTAGAGAAAACAAGATTTAACTTTCTAATTGTTTTAAGATTGGCAAACTCGTTTTTAAACCAAATTTTCTTATTAACTATTTTATTTGACAGTATCTTAAAAGGCACTTTTGTTAAATAGAATAAGACATAAAAGTACAACAGTCACAGTTGGTGTGCTGYAGTGACTAATACAATATAATCTAAAGCTAAACTTTAAGGATGATGCATAGCGACATTTAAATTATGTTTTTATTAATTTATGGATTCTGTTTTCTTGTTACAGCGGCAGCAATAGTCGTGCCCTGCCTGTCGATGCTTGTTTCAGACCATGGTAAGTAATTTTCACAAACACTCCATCTTGATGCATCTTGATTCTCCACTGTGGATTTTCCTCCAGGCGCAGCCAGTCAGAAGGGCACTGTGATGGGAATCCTGCGTAGTTTGGGGGCCCTGGCGAGAGCATTCGGGCCAGTTGTGTCATCCTCTGGTAAAGAAGCTGTTATAATGAGAAAGAAGCTACTTTTTTACTTTGAAAGTTCTTGTATTTCATGCACGGCGCTCTGATTGCTTTTTTATCTTCATCATATTTTTTTGTCGTCTCTCTTTCACAGTTTATTGGCTTGCCGGAGCTCAGACCTGTTTTCTCCTCACAGCTGCCTCTTTCGTGGTTCCACTTTTTCTCCTGAGCAAAACCAAGAGACTAGACTCACAAGCACAAGAATCCAAAAAGACTTTTTAAGAGGAAAAACTCTTATTTTGTTGCCTAAAATGAATGTTTTGTTTACAACTACGGGGAGAACAAAATCATCACATGATCAAGAAAAAAATAACAAAAACATATACAGTATGTTGAATAGAAGAGTAGGTACAAAATATTTTATTGTGTAGGTAGTAAATGAATATAATGCTGTTTTTTGCACATTTTATACACTGCATAACTTAGGACAAATGACAAAAAATCTTTTATACATTTAGAAATTTTAGAAAATTTTCTAAGTATTTTATAAAGTCAGCACAGTGTTTTATCTTCTAAAGCAGCATTTTTGTTTTTCTCGCTGTGAAATATATTGTATTTTCTGGAATAAAAAAATTATGTCGTTCATTTTTGGGAAAAGAGAATTTATTATTATTTTTTTAATTTACGAAAACATTAAAGAATGTTTTTCATCAAGCACAATTTTGATTTATCTACTGCTTCTGTTTACATGCCAATTTATCTGTTGCTGTATTTCAATTACATAAATATTTTACTGCATTTTCATATTGTTCCCTTTATTGTCTAAAAACAAAAAGTTATAAAATGTAAATGAAACCATCACAATATGTAAAAACTTCAACTGATTTATATTATATTTATATTACAAATTACACAATAATTAATAGCAAATACTTTAAATGGAGGTTTTTATTAAATAATACAGGACTGGGATGTCCAAAAACATTTTCAGTGCAGGCAAAACTATATTGTATTAGTTTTCAATAGAGTAACTTAGTCTTAGAGCTCAAATATTTAATAATAATCATAATTTTAGGAGAAAATTGGGTGTTTTCTTCACATTTAGCCAACAGGGTATGCTTATTTTGGCTCACTTTGTGGTGTGTTTAAAACTAGAATTAAAGTCATTCGGAAAAGTTTGTAATTAAATTTGCTTTAGAACAACACTTGCTCTGCTCATTGAGAGTTGGTGAACATTTAGTGAAACAATCACACACTTTTCAGAAGCTTTTACGCCACCGCGCCACAAGGTGTCGCTAATGTTCCGCTCGTACAAATATTAGCCGATCRTATCAGGTAGCTGGATGCTAATGTTATCAAACAGGTTGTTCGCCACCAACGAACAGATAAATGTTGCATTGTTGTTACGAAGCCTTTAAGGACAAACGCAAGCCCAGGTGAAAAAAAAAAGCGAAGATGTGACTACATTAAAAAAAAAAACCGGCACGACATACGCACTAAAATGGACATGGTAAGGAAGTTTAGCCTGTTTCTTATATTAGCTAGCTTGGAAGCTAAGTCACGCTAATGCTCCTGGGGAAAGTTAATGTTTACAAACTTAAAGGGTACAGACGCGTGTAGAATGAGAAAAAGGCAGACAAACCATTTCAATAGAAATAGTTTTGTCTCGAAACTTTAAAAGAAAACRTATTTTTGATTATACTTTTTACTTTATTTAAGCACACTAACTAGGATTAAAATCTAGAAGTAGCAGAGTTGAGCAGTTTTTCAGTGGCTCTGCTTGAATTTCAGTCAGGTGCATGGTTGCCAAAGGTCGTTTACAAGCAGATATTATTCTTTACTCGTTCCAGGAGAGCAAGCTGACATCCACTGCCTCGGCTACTGACCATAAATATTACATGAGACAGAGAAGAGAGGCTGTTGATCCGCACACAGACTCAACACCTCTGATCCTGCCAAATCCATACGAGTCCAAACCAGCCTTAACAAGGTATTAGGCTAATAAGAGTCTCTATGTCTCATTGTATTCAMGTTAATCAAGTCACTTGATCATTGAGCTATTTATTCTTCTAATACTGCTTTCAAATGCCTAAACATTTTTAGGAACTGGTCAGGTTTTAGCCCAAAACCATCAGGAAAAGGAGGAGATGGTTCAAGGAGTCATGGCTACAGCAGTCACCGTCCTGTGGCATCAAAAAGGGGCAATGACTCTCAGGGAAGAAACTCTGTGAATGCACAGAAAAAAGGTGGCTATTATACACCAATCACATCTCACAGCTCCTCAGTCAGAAGATTTCGTAATTTTCCTGAATTCCTACAAGGTTTATTCCCCGCTTTAGATTATTTCTGGTCTTTTGCACATTCCCCCTCAGGTTCTGAAGGTATCAGGTCGGCCCCGAACCCCGCGAGGAAGTCGGCGCAGGCAAACTTTGTCCCGTTTGAAGTGAAAATGGCTGATTTTCCAGCGTTGGCTGGAGATTCATTGTCGAAAACGGCTCATCCTGCAGCTCAGACAGAACATCGGGGTCGTAGTTATCAAACCACAAGCCCACAAACTCTGGCAACTTCCTGGAAGGTAAACTCCTGTTTTGTTAAAATGTCAGATGTGAGTCAGTTAGTATTAATGACCAACACAGTGAATTTAGTTATAATGTAATTTCTATTATTATTTATTTTGAGTAGTCAGGCTCAAGAGGATCCGCAGCACAAGTTGACACTTTGCAAAATGCTACTGATGCTAAAGTCACTACCCCTTTTAACTCAACAGGTAAGGTGGAACAGATTTTAAACAGCCTTTTAATTATGAAAATGTTCCTAATTTTTAACGTTTATCGTCTTGTTTTAAATAGGTCAACCAGTGGTGACGTCCTGGGCTAATATTGCCTCTCAGCCTCCAAAAATCCAACCTGTTGTTCCAGACGGGACAGTTGGCGGCGCTGTCATGCAGGTGTGATTTTCTCTGGATCATTTCTTTTTTTAATTGATCCAAATTAAGATTTTAACATTTTCCCTAAATCACTCAAACATATCAGTCTGTTTTTGCACGTTCTTTCTTTATAATGGRATTTTTTTCCCACTATATATCGCCAAATTATTCCTGAAAGGCATTTAATTTTTTGTGTTTTATTAACATGTTAAATGTTTAAAGTCCTATGATAGTAAAGGCTGTGATGTGGTGCTCCTTCAAGCAAACCTAGATAAACAGGTGAAATGAGATTTGTCTTTGAAAAGCACTTAAAAGTTCATAATCAAACTAAAATTTGCATAGGGAAAGCAAATATTCAGACGTTATGTTTTTGACAGCACCTTTTCCAACGTTAAACTACATTTACTTTGATGTCAAATTAGTTTGTTTTGATTTTAAGGAGATTGTTATCTGAAGGCTTTTTTTTGCCAATTCATGTCTCATCAGGCAGAAGACTTGGCTGCGGCGAATGAAAACGGAGCCGCAGGAAAGAAAAAACGACGAAAAAAGAAGAAAACCAAAAGTAGTGGTGAGGGTGCGGAAGCTGAGTCAGAAGACCCGATAAAACCTCAAGAACCTCCAAAATTTGAGGTAGAGTTTATTTCTCACGGWTTTTTGAAGATCTGCTAAATGAAAAATATAGTTAATATAAATTTTACTATTTCTTTCTAAGGATGAAGAGGAGTTTCCAGGCTTGGCTGTCGCTTTAACCGGCTCTAATAGATTTATACCCAGCAGCAAAACAAAGCTTTGCAGTGAGGTAGATACACTTTTAAACTAAACCCTTAAAAAAACTGTATGATTAGTTATATATGTTATATATTTATTTAGGAAAACCAAAGAGACGTAGGTCAGCATCATCTTGTTGAACAGAACAAGGAAAAGTTCTCTTCAGGAAAAACTCAGCCCACAGAAGCAGCGAAAAAGGAGCAGGTTTGTGTTTATTCTTAAATAAAATTGACCTTTCATGTCATGCTTATACAAAATGGTGCCAAAAAAAAAAAGTCTTGTTTTTTGTCCTCACCTGATTTTTCCAGAAAGCAGAGAAAGTTTCGGGGAAAAAGAGCAAAGCTCCTGTTCAGCTGGATATCGGAAACGTATTGGCAGCTCTGGAAAAGAAGCAACAATCTCAAAAGTCCAAACAGGACACTAAGCCTGTTGTTCTCTCAGGTTGGTTTTTTTATTTTTTATTTTTTTGTAGTCCGTTTGAGACGAGCAGTGACACTTGATAAGGATGAAGTCTGTTTTTTCGGGATGCATGAAAACTTGTGTTAGTGCATTATCTGTTTTGAACTTGTGGAATGACTTTTTCTCTTTTGTTTAAATCTGAGATCAGTGTTAAAGGTCTTTTTTTTATAATTATTGAGCCTTTAATTAAAAAGATGGCCATTTGAGAAATTGTTTTGTTTGATATACTTTAAGAAATGTTTGCTTGCTAAGAGTTTATTTCAAATAGTATAATTTACAGTGTCATTTGGTTTTGGTGTTGTTTATATTATGATCTTACCCATTTTTGACTCATCTTATCTCCTGGCATGTTATCRGTTATTATCGGTTATCGGCCGTTAGAAGGAGAAAGTTATCGGTTATCGGTTCTTAAAATAAGTTAGATTCAAAGTACGTTTGCTTTTATTGTTATTCATATATGATTTTAAACATTTTTCTACCTGAAACAGTGCTTCTGAGAGTGTGAATGCATTATGACCGCATYATACTTACAGGAAGACACACAGAGAGCAGCAGCTCGACGTGGTGGTTAACAAGGAGAAAAAAGCTTCGGTCTTTTAGCGAGGTTGAGCGGCTGGTTGTCATCATTTCCATCGTTAAAGTGCTTGAGATCTGCGTCCTCTGGCACTTTTATTTGATTTGTCAAAAGCCTCAGCAATGATATAAGTCCAGATGAGTTCTTGAACGCTAGCGTGTTGTTAGCATTTTAGCAGACGGACTTTGTGCTGGATTCAGGAGRTAACGGACATTACATGTTCTCAAATTGAGAGTAGTTGTTCTGATGTTTATAATTATAAAGTTTGTGTGTATCATACAGGGTTAATTGGTAAAATAATATAAATAATTCTTAAAATGACTGGTTGTTTTTCAGCATGGAGTATTCTAATTATTGTTCTAGTGAGAAAGTTGTTTTTTTCTGACGCAACTTGAACGTTGCTCAGGTCGTGTCGAACGGGAAGCAGCTTGACCAAAACGGATAAAAATAAAGCAGCGCTCAAATGTACATATATTATCGGTTCTGTTTGTTGTGATATCGGGCGATAACTATCGTGCACACCCACTGTTTTTTTAATTGTAGTTGGTGGAGGACTTCCTGTTTTCCAGAAGCAACCTTCTGCTCTGAAGAAGCCTCATAAGCAGCAGGACAAAATCGCACACAATCCCTTGGACTCGACAAGTCCTTTAGTGAAAAAAGGCAAGCAAAGAGTGAATCCTAAAGCCAAGAAACCCACTCCTCTTAAAAAGGCAAGTTCGCTCACTCAACCTGGAATGAACACGACACATCGCCTATAACCTTCTTTTTTTAATTCTGCTGGCTCTTCAGGTCATTTTGAAAGAGAGAGAAGAGAGGAAACAAAAACGTTTGCTAGAGGAGAGAGGTTTGCTGCCGGAAAACGAGTCCAAACTCGCCGATGGTGCTGAGGAAGAGCAGAACGCCGCCGCCGCAGGTCAGAGCAGGATGGGTGCTGTGGACGTGCCTCCAGTTTAAATTCACCGAGGAAGTAACTGATTGTGTTTTCTTTCCGAGTTCAGATGACAGTTTTGCACCGGGATTTGATGATGATGAGGATGATGCACAGTTATGCGTTACAAATTCAGTCGTGGAGGAAGAAGAAGAAGAAAAAGAAGATGGTGATGAAGAAACTGATAAAGATGAGTCAGTGCAGCCGGAGGTCACATCAGCTGAACTCCAGCAAGCCCCTGTACCAAAAATCCACAGCAGGAAGTTCAGAGAGTAAGATCACAAAGCTGCTTGATTCCCTAAAGTTTAAACGTTGTCACACGAGTCTTCTCTGGAAGACGTCAGGTGCTCCTCCTCTAACGGCTCTGCTCGTTTCTACCACAGCTACTGCAGTCAGGTGCTGAGCAAAGACTTGGACGAGTGCGTGACGTCGCTGCTGAAGGAGCTGGTCCGTTTCCAGGATCGCCTGTACCAGAAGGATCCGATGAAGGCCCGCATGAAGAGGCGGATCGTGATGGGGCTTCGAGAGGTGCTGAAGCACCTCAAACTCAAGAAGGTCAAGTGTGTCATCATCTCGCCCAACTGTGAACGAATCCAGTCGAAAGGTACCTTTTTAAAGAAAGTGTCTTTTTAATAAAGCAATGTTTGTTTGTTTGTTTGTTTTTTACAAAACATGCATTTTTACAAGACTGTTCAGGTTTTAGGTTATGGTTTTCTGGATGTTAAAGTGAATATTTCATGCAAAATCCACTATTTTAGCTGTTAAATGCATTCTGTACTTGGAGTCTTTAGGAGTGCAGAAATTTTTAATTTATTCTCTCCAGCGATATCTTTATATTATGTTTGGGTCATATTTTTCAATCTATTCAGTCTTCTCTTTTTTCTATGATGTTTTCTGAACTGTTACATCACAGAATTTGCAACAGAACGTCTGAATAAGGTCTGGATTCACCCACTACAGTTTGGTTGTTTTCATTCTCCTCTCACTCTGGGTTTCTGCGCRGCTATATAGTCGTAAAACCCTCTATCAAACTACAATGGAGTGCTCTGGAAGCTATGGGGGGCGGGGTTTGAAGTGCCTTGTTTGGATTTAAAGAGACAGCCTCAAAACAAGTTGATCTGAGACACACCTCAGAAAAGGGGCGGGGCTTGTGGAGTTACAATAAGGAGAAATTCAGACCAAAGCRTTGCAGTTTTACTTTATATAGACCCCAACTAAAGGATTTAAATGTGAAAAATAAGGATTTAAAGGCAGTAGGAAGTTCTACGATTTACTGAATTAAATAAAAGCCAGAAAACTYTCATGATATTGTAACAAAGCAGGAGACAAAATAAGGATCGAACATTAATCAGTGGAAATAAGACGTGTAGAGTCTCAACAGTGGGAGAAAGTGATTTTTACAAGCACATTTGTGTTGATAGAAAAAATTTCCTTCACAGGTGGCCTGGACGAGGCTCTCCACACTATTATCAGCATGTGTCGTGAACAGAGCGTACCCTTCGTGTTTGCACTTTCCAGGAAAGCTTTGGGCCACTGTGTCAACAAGGCCGTGCCCGTCAGCCTGGTGGGCATCTTTAACTACGACGGTGCGCAGGTCAGGAAACGAGCTGGATGAGAACCAAACGATTCAAACGTACATTCATTCATTTATTTATTTATGTAAACGAGGTGAAACCTTTCGATGCTCGCAGGACTACTATCACAGGATGATCGAGTTGTCCTCCGAGGCCAGCCGAGCCTACGAGGTGAAGCTTTCGAGCCTGGAGCGGACGGATCCAGAGGAGGACCCAAGCTCAGAATCGCCACCGCCGTTGAACGACTTCGCCGAGGATCCGAACCCCGGTCCCGACGAGCCAGAGTACAGTAAGTTACTCCTCTKTCAGCATCCAGTTGAAATATCACCAACTGGTCAGACGTTATAAAACCTGCCGTTTTTCTCTCAGTGAAATTCTGGAAGAAGGTGTTGGAGAAGGACAGCAGCTGCACGTTGTTCAACTTTGAGGAGCAGCTCAGATCCTTGCACTTGGACAGTGAATGTACAGAGAACACTGAGCAGGAGGAGAGTTGATGGCTGAAAAGCCTTCTGTGCCTAAAAAAAAATAATAATAAAAAATAATGCAGGCTGCGCTTGTTCAAGACTTGATTAGGTAAATGCAAWTGATGCTTTTATTAGCAGTTGTTTTGTTTAAGTGAACCAGGAGAGAACCGATCACATCGTTCAGGTATGTTGTTTGTGGCCCCGCCTGAAGAATGTGTAATGTTTTATTTGTAAAATTGTAACAGTTACAGAATACTAATGATCAGGGATGATTTACCACTACATGTTGGGATTTTATTTTATTTTTTGGTATATAAATGGGAGATGATACGAAATGTAATAAATTGTCAGATGATCTTCAACACAAAACAGGCAACAGTTGATGAGGGGAAAAGAATAGCTGTCTTTCTTTGTAAACAAGTCTGCTTAGGAAATTACTGAACTCAATATTTATAAAATATGTTGTTGGAGAAAACGACGGAAAAACTTTATAGAAGCTTCGTACTTAATCACGATACGGGGATACTGAAATTCAGGCTTAGGTTGTAAAAAATAGTGAAGGAAAGTCTTAAAGAACTTAGTTTTCACTCATTTAGTTTATAACTTATTTTAAATCAACATGCAGACGTCTAACGAATTTATCATTGGGTTCAGTTTAAGTTCATATATTTTATTACCTGAATTCATGTTTTCTACTAATTCATAGGCTGTTTTTTTAATTTACTTTGATGCACAACCTGACCACAAAAATGTGTTTGGCAGAAAAAACAAATATAAAGAAATGAGCAGTCAAACCACTGTTATCCCACATGATGATGATGGGGGAGGGGGGGTGACGTTATTAAAAAAATATATATAAAGGTAACCTGATTTGCTGGTTGACAATCATGTTAAATGAAGCAATAAATGAAGAATGCTCTAAGATGGAAACTTTTCCATTAATTTGTACAAATCTGGCATCCATTCAAAGAACGATCTACTTTAAACTGCTAATGATGAAAAATCTAAATTGCAAAAAAAAAAAAAAAGTTAAGGGATAAAGTTAGTTTTTCCTGTTTGCCTTTTTTTACAGGGTGGAGACAGAGTCTTACCAAACAGTTAAAAAAAGCACGTTTATGGGAATCATTGTGACATGTTGCTACAGGAAAAGCAACATATGTTGTGCCACTTCTACTGCAAGGACGTTTATTGTTTAGGAAACAATGTGGTGTAACGTGAAGCTGTAAAAATAGAGGCTGAACATTAAGAATGTTCAGATGCATGATAAAACAATATTTTTATAAACGTTATGTCTTAACTTTGGTATTTCAGTAGAAAAATTTACAGTTCAATTTGCTTTTTCATTTTACTCAAGTCATTCCTTTTTATTAAACTGCATAAATCTTTTTTAATTACCTTTTAATTATATCACAAAAAACAAATGACATGGTACGAAGGGAGTAATATATTTTTGAATGATAATTTGTCAAATGGCAATTATTTAAAAATACCTGCATTTCAAAGGATGCAGTGTCCTGCAAAATTATTTCAGTTGAAGACTGCAAATTATTATTTTGTTCTTTTATTTGAATAAAACAAACTCATCCAGTGGGTTTCCATCAAGTCTCAGACAGACCAGGATAGACTCAGAAAAAGGAACGAGGCTTCAAAGACGACCATTAAGTCTTTGAAACATAAAACTGGTTTTAAAGTTTTTTTTTCTCCTTTAAACAAAAGAAGTGACGTTAATGGGCGTTTTAGTGGAGCTTGACATAAGAAATAAATTTTCAAATAGGAGTTCCTATGCTCCTACAGGCTCTACCAGGCTGATGTGCTTTGATTTTATTAACTTCATGAAGGCTACAGCTGAAAAACAATCCACTGAACAAATGTCACACTGAACTGAAAATGTCCTAAAAAATTGTAGATATCAATTGGGAGCCACACTTGTCTCGACAAAGTGGTCAACAAATGTCCACTTTTATCGAACAAGTAGAAACTTGACAGAATTCTAATTTGGTTTAATCCTTCAGTCGTTTATCCAGCAGATCCAAAGATAAATTCCAGTGTTTATATTAAAGTGGTTCATCCTCTGGCACAGAGTTGGCTCCTCTGCTGAAATACCAACCGTTGCCAGCTCAGACTGCAGCGAATCATAAAAAATATCTTGTCGTTTCTCAAATCACTCCTGGTAAAAACAGAATCTACAGAACGTATCCGTTACCGGTTATCTGTAAGACCGTTACTTTGCTGTCAGTCGCGGGAGGGAGTTTTGTTTTCTGATTTGTCCACTCTGTGTTTCGGTCCTCCTCCTTTTTACAGACAGAGTCCGCAGAGCCGTGTTTCTGTAGGAGGACTGCGTTGCCGCCGTCCACCTCTATGACCACGCTGTAGCCGGCCGGCCCGCCGTCCTCCGCGCACCCTTCCTGCCTCGGCGCGGCCGAGCTGACTGGGACGTTTTCGTCCCTGAAGACGAGAACGGTCTCGCCGTTCACCTTCTGCACGCTGCTGTAGTCCCACTGCGTGTTCTCCTGTTGGGGAATGCCCACGTAGCTGGTGTTCTCCTCGCTCGCACAGTTTCTGCTCGGGCTCTGCTGTTCCTCGGGAGGCAACTGGGCCGGCTCCGCGTTCGACGGGCTCCCCTTCGACGGAGCTTCGCTGGTTTTAACCAAATGACCCGTTTCACCTTCCTCAGCCTTCTCACAGTCACTTTGCTCTGGTGCCGACTCCCTGCATTGCATCTCGAAGTGTACGCTAGCTGGAATCATCAAGCTTTTCTTTTGAGACATGCAGGGATCTGTTAAGAGCCAGTCATTACTGTCAGACACAAGTAGGTACTCCTCCGTCTGATCCATCCAAGTCGTCATAGGAGGGAAGCTTTGGCTGCTGATAAAAGCGTCGACGACGTCCTCGGATCGCCCATTCTGGAAGAGTTAAAGTATATTCTCATAAAGGCCAAAGGCACTGTTTTGTGTGTTCTGGAAAAACGATAAAACGCAACGTTACCTTGAGAAGTTGAACATCAACTCCTTGTATCTTTGGCCCAGGAACAGGAGGCAGAAGCCACTGCTTCACGCTGAGTAACAATAAGAGAAGTTTATTAATTTGACCTCCTGTAAAGAAACGTCCAGTTAAAAAAAACAACAGATACTTACAATTTCCTCTTCAGGACCAAAATACATACAATTGTCAACAATGGAATTATAGAGAAGATAGAGACCAGGATCCAAAATGGCTTCTCATTCTGAAAATCTAAACAGGAGCAATAAAAAGATTAATAATAATAATAACAATAATAGCAACAACAATAATAATTAAAGTCTATGATGGAGAAAGAGCTTCCAAAACTTACAGTTTGGCATTTTCACAGACGAGGTGCTGCTCCACTCGCTCCAAGAGCTGTGGTCGAGTCTACAGCGCACTTCAACCATGTACGTGGCCCCGGGGTCCACGTTGTACAGTTTACGAAAATTGTATATGCCATTTTGGTACGTCTAGATGAAAGGGAGCATAAACAAAGCCATTTAGGTTAAATTCTTACAGTAGTTAATTTAAAACATTTATTGCCCTCGGGACTAGTTGAGCTGACAGGTGGGGGGAAAAAACCAGTAAAACAAAGTTTATTTATAAACTCGTCTGGGTCGCTTTAGTTCAACTCTGAGATGTCTCTGTTAATGATTATTAGGTTCACAGGTCTTCACCTTGAGGGCTCTTGTCTTCGAAGAAACCGCAAAAACCAAAGTGAAAATGCCTTCTTAACCAACAAATTCCTTTATTTTCAATAAAAGACCTAAAGGAATAGTGGTGGTTAGAATTAAACAAATCTACTCTCTTTAAAGGTGATTTATTTAACAAAAATAATAAAATAAATGCTACAGCAGGTCACAGGTTCGGCAGAGTGCGAGAGTCTGAGGAGGTGTTTATTTGCTTGGTGAGTCGTGAACGTTCGGACCCACGAGCCAATCAGCCTCCAGGAAGCGTCTAGGTTCAACCCTCCTGCTCCCTAACGGTGCCTGCACCCTTTATTTTACAGTCATGCATTTTTTATGTAGTTTTTCATTGTCTTGTTTAGTAAAAAAATAAAGTTTTTCCACGTTAAACACTCACCTCCCAGGTATTTTCATCTGTTTTTTTGACCCTCAGCTCATAGTTTATGGTGGCCCAGCCAGATCTGGTGTCCGCCTTCCGAGGAGGGTTCCAACTCACGTGGAGAAACGGGCTGTTGGCGGTGTCGTTCACCAGCACCGTGACGTTTTCCGGAGCGTAAGGCTTCACTGTCGAGCACAAAAAGAACAAGAGTCACGATATCAATGCATTTTTATTTACCACATTCACCATCTTGAATAGGAAAGAAAGGTTGAGGTGACGGTCGAGGAACGCTTTAACCGTTTGTGTAACCATTAGAACACCCTGTAACAGTTATTTAGCAGGACATTACAGTTGGCACCCAAAGTTCACTGTAATCTTCCACTATTTGCTCGGGAAAAACTCAGCATGTTGTTCGAGCTGCAGAAGATGAAGGATCTCCGCAGAACATTGGGGCGTGGATATTTATGAATGATCTACCTGGCTGTTTCACGTCAGCTGTTTTTACAGTTAACATGGCGACTTTGCAAAACCGGTCGCTGTCCACAATGAACGCAAATCAGCTTAACTTTTCASAACCTGAGGCTACATCCAGGTTTTTATAGTTAAAGTTTGAATGTTGTGGTTTTCAACAAAAATGGTTCGGCAGGACCTTCAGCCATTTTTGAATAGATGTTAACGGTGATAACAGAGGCGATCTCTCCTCTGAATAACAAAATATTCCATTTATAAACCATAAAAGACCAATAAAGAAGGCCTGAGCTGAACAATGAGGAGGTAGGAAACATCACACTGCTTAAATACAACAATTCTTCCCTCAGCTTAGTAAACAATGAGCTTTTCCAAGTGTCATGTAAAAACGTGTCATTATTTCACGCACAAAACAGCTCCCCATTCAAGAATGTCTCCCACTGACAAAACTTTCTTTTATTTTTGTTAAAGTGTTTATTCTGTTGGATTAGTGATAGATTTAAACGCTGTCGAGTTTGTCTTTGGTTAAACAGAACAAAACTTACATAACCGCCTGCGAAAACCAAACAAAGACCGTGAAATGAGATCTGTGACTGTACACACGATTTACACCCGGTCCCAAACCAGTTCCACCTCATTCTCCCCAGACTTTAATTTGTCCCTCATGTGTGTCACTCTGTACTTTTCCATTCTTGTCCGAGCTCAAGATAGCAGTGCGGCTAATAAAACCGAGCCAATCATTAGCTCGATATATGAAGATAATTCTCCGCTAAGTTGATTTCTACTATAAAAAAATAAACCTGTCTAGTAGAGGTCAACAGAGCCTTGCCGCCCTCATATGCCCAATTTAGTCAGAGGTTTTGTTCTTGTTCATTTATGTAAAACAGAGCTTCATACATTTAAAAGATCAAAAGCTTTTTTCTATTAACAGTATCAGGAAAATTCAAAGTTACCAGAGTTGTACACCAAGTACATACCAAAAAACAAAAAGGATGAAAATGTATCATAATGAGACACACACACACACACACACACACACACACACACAC